TGCATAATAAATCATTAAGAATTTTAGCTACCAGTTCCCGTTTAAACTTGGATGTTTGCTACGACATATGACTAGGCATATGTTCGCATACGCCGTATTCGGATTTATAGCATGTACACTTAATTGAATGCTTCATCTCTTGTTACATCTTGCCTTCGCCTTTACATCTTTCATTATATCTCGGGTCAAATTGCTGTCATATCACATTTCACTTCATGATCATGCCGTATTAATTTCATGCATTTGTGGCAAATACCTATGAATATTTGTTCCAAAATGTTTCGTTCATGGGCATTTCTTGGAGACGAACCATTCTGGATATCATTTTGTAATACGTTGTTGGACGAAATTACGTTATAAAATGAAAAGTCCAGATAAAATGAGCTTATTTTACCGGAAATCATTACATTCACAAAACTGGAACGGAGTTTTTTATCCTTGCTGTAAATGCACTGTGATTGCCAAGTTCAGTTACAATTCTATTATTGTAAACATATTTCTATTGTGATTGAAATGATGCCTAGCTTATTTTTCTAATGCTGCCTCGATACATAAACTACCAAAATTTACAAAGTTTGCGGCTTCATATGCCATGTCATTTAGTCTTCAGGGTCATGGCTAGATAACATACCTATTATTGTGGAAATTTCTGAAAAAATCATCTCATACTAACAAGCCCAGTACCGTATGACAACTGAACAGCAATATCTGAGAAGGGCATTAAAATGTTTCTTCTCTATCAGGTTTCTCCAAAAAGTGATCGAAAATGTAGGTAAGTGGATTCAAACTTTTCATTCTAGTTGCGAAAAATTTCGGCACAGAGTGCTTGTATGCCAGCAAAAACAAGATTACTATGGTTAATGTGCAATCTCAAGTATAAAACAATGTCTTCTAATTCAACCTTGCGTGAATTTTTGGATGCAGCTATGTGTATAATAAATGGCATTACTTGGTTACTAGAGGCTTTTCTTGATCCGCAAAACAGGTTTTGAAAGAAGAGAAGTCGTCGAAGTCTGTCTAAGTAGGCATTCTGTCAATTAAATTAGTTCATTTTTTCTTTCAACAACTGTTCGTGCTAAAAAGTATTGCAAGTAACCAATTAATTTCATACTATAGTTTAAACAGGATGTAAAATATATTCTCCACTCACATTTCGGCTGCGGTACATTGAACAACAATGCATCATTGGAAATGTTAGGAAAGCAGTTTTCTTAGCGTCTGTAGCTCTTAACCCAAAATTAAAGAGCAGGCTTAGACGGAAAGAAAGGAGAGTAAAGGGAGGGAGAGGAAGGAGGGAGAGGGAAGGGGGAGGAAATGAGAATGAAGTTGTGTCATCTCATCTGAGCTTGACAATACCCTCTGAAAGTAGCACTACGCCCACTACTTGCCCACCGCCTCCTCCCAATACGTGATGCTGCATGCGCGCCCATAGTTATTTATATTATAAAGGGTTGTCCAATAGGGACGCAGGAAAGTTAACGTCAATTTGACATAGACCCATCTTTGTTTTCTGTCACCGACATGTCATTTTGTTAGTTGAATGTTTACCATTGACCGCTACGGAGTCCGTATTCGATTGAAGACCGCATTAAAGTTATTCAAGAGCACTACAAAAAGGTGCAAAAATAAAAAACACGTTTCGCGCGCTTCGTGACCATTTCGGTCGCAACAACCGCCCAAACGGAACAACCATCGGTCGTCTGGTGCGTAAATTCGAGGCACAGGTTCTGTGGCAAATCTGCCGGCTCTGTGCCGGCAAAGGAGCGTTCGCACATCGGAAAATATTGCTGTTGTGAAGGAGAGTGTGAGTGAGAGACGATCCGAAACAATCAACAACACGTCAATCCAAGAATTGGGCATTTCGAGAACCAGTTTGCTCCGCATTCTCCACAAGGATTTGAATGTACACGCCTACAAGATCCAATTGACGCAAGAGCTGCGTCGGCCGACCATTTTCGCGCCGAACGTTCTCAGATTGGCTCCTTGAACACCGCCCAATTAATGCCAATTTTTCATCAAAAATCATGTTCAGCGACGAGGCCATTCACTTTGAATGGGACGGTAAACAAGGCAAAACCTGCCGCCTCTGAAAATCCCCATGAGTATCAAGAGCAGCCGATGCATCCTCAAAAAGTACTGTATGGTGTGCATGTGGTCAATAGGCATCAACGGACCTTACTTTTTCGAAAATGCGGCCGGGGGACGCCGTCGTTACTGTCAATCTGAGCGATAATCCACGTGATGATAGAGGACTATTTTTTGCCGCAACTTGAAGGAATGGATAGGACGATGTTTATTTCCAACAAGATGGTGTAACATGCCACACAACCAACGTCAATATCCATCGATTGCAGTCCTTCTTCGGTGATCGCGTGATTTCGCGCAGAGGAAATGTGCCATGGCCACCAAGATCGTGCGATTTGACTCCCTTGGACTTCTTTTTATGGGGATATTTGAAAAGCAAAGTCTACGTCAACAAACCAGCCACCCTCCAAGAACTCAAAAACAATAACATTACCGAGATAAATGCCATAGAACCGACCATGTTGAAAAATGTCATTGAAAATTTCGACCATCGCGTGGACGTCTGTAAATCCAGTCGTGGTGAACATTTGAGCGATATTTTTCATACATAAATGGTATAAATGAACCTTCAAAATAAACTACCCAACTTGATTTGAATATCAATCTTTCTTGTTTACTTTCCTGCTTCCGTTTTGGACAAGCCCATATATATATACGTATATATATAGCTAATCCCATCGATGTCTTTTCAGGGGTACCCCAAGGCTTCCACATTGGTTCAGTTTGTTTAGTTTATTTGTTAACAATGTTGCGGCAGCTACATCAATAGCAGTTATTTGATTTTTACAGATGATCTTAAATTATTAAGAACAGTGAGACATATCCACTATGCGGAATGCTAGTAGATAAGCTCAAGCCGTAGTTCTCTCAGATATGAATTAAAGTTGTAAACCGTGACCTCATTAGAACTGATACAGTTAGGGATATAGATATAACTTTTGATAAAAAATTACCTTCTCAAACACACATTAGACAAATTACTTCTAAATTATATAAAATATTGGGATACATTTATGATCTACCATACATCTCTCTGTAGAATGAATTGTATATTGCTCCTTGGTGCGGAGTATTTTGGAGTACAACACAGTGCAAGGTAAGGTGCAGGCAGCTGTTGTAATGGGTCAGAGTCAGAATGCCTAACAACTAATGAGTTCATTGAATATCGACTCCTTGAAACGCCGCAGGGAAATTTTTGGTTTATGTCTTCTGTTTAAATTATTTATTGTTGTCATAGAATGCCCAGGTGTGCTTGCACAAATAAATCTTAATGTTATTGAAAGACGAACTCGCAATACAGAACTGTTTACGATTCCACATCATTCTACAAACTATGGTATGAATGAACCAGTTACTAGAATTCTTAGATTTGGCAACGCCGCTGCAACTTAACTTTGGCTTGTTATCAAAATATAGGTCGATGGGTATCACAGGGATATTTGGTTCGTCTTTAATAATTTATATAAAGCTATTGGAATCTGTCACATAAATGTATGTAATGGGAAACCGTGGATAAATAAATAAATCAAAATCGGCTCAGCAGTTGGAGAGTTTTGGGGTGGGGAGTGAATATGGAAGTGAGTAACCCAAGGCAAAGAAATAGAAAGCTTTCTAAATCGATCATTTAATAAAAGTCTATCGTACGTATGATTTTTAACCACCAACGCCACAAAAACAGATGACCCGATTTGGATGCGTTTTTTTTTATGTATCGATTTTTGTGTAAATTGGTCAATTCCTTCAAAAGTCATACCATTGGTTAACGTATTCTAGATAGCCAGCCTAATCCTACTTTCCCGCACCAAAAAATTATGTGAGATAAAATGAGATACCGTGGCGTCATCTATGTCTTCTAGATGGCGCTGTGACCAACAATATACAAGCATGTAGGCTTTTCAAAGTATATACAGTAGATAGATAAACAGCTATAACAATTCTCACAGATACTCTACGGCATCTCATTTTATTTAGGATAATTTTGGACGCAGGAATATATCAATGGTTGTACCCATTTTTCTCTATGATTTTTCACATTCATCAAGAACGCCCAAACCGTTGAACCGATTTGGCACTTATTGGTGAGAACAATATGAAGATCAATCAGAGAAGCAGCAACAGGATGAGGTTAAAGAAATACCCCAGAAGTGTTACGACAACGCTAACTGAAACCAATAATAATCGATCTACTAATAGAATTTTAAAGCGGCTCTATCAAATCATATAACAATTCGAATCAACTGATGTAGTTATAGATGATTAAAAACAGCAGTGTTGCCATCTGAATATTCTTATTTCTCTTTATCGCACATGCTTCAGCGCTTCTTCCATTTCAACTTCACCCATAAAACCAAACATGGAGGCAAGTGACCTGTTCTTATTCTTCCACGCCCTTGATCAAAGTTTTTATTTCGATTAAGCTAAATTCTTCATCTACCACGTCTTTGACGGTAAATTATCTGCGAAGGAGCAATACATGATTTCGCTCGATAGATTGGTAATGAGATGTAAAGAAAGGTAAATGTCATCCAAGGTACCCGAACGACCTTGACGATGGTATTGTGATAGAGGACGTAAACCGCATGTAACAGGTGTACTAATAGGAAAGATAATAAGAGGTTTGGCGCAACGTGTGTTCTATAAGAAATAAAAAAACGTTTAACTAACGATTCGTAAGGAAGACTGGTCTTTCTAAGTAGACAGAACACAGAATCATTAATGGTGGTAACGATTCATTGATCAAGTTTGATAATTGTACTGTAATGTAATACACACTAACTAAGTAACATTTTTATATGTTTGCTTGATGTATGATAATTTTATATTACATACTAAAAATAGTCCTGAAGACTAGTCGGGGGACGGGGAACGGTGTTTAGTATGCAAATCTGGTAATTCTGTTCTACCAGACCAACTTGCATTTAAGTTAATATTCCGCAAAAAAGTAGTAAGTCTTTTAAGTTTTGCATAATAATAATGATAATATAATAATAATAAGTTTATTGCAAAGGAAAAAGTATGGCAGTAGTAGATGAAAGACAATATTATACAATAAACGAATGGACCCAAAAAAGTTTCGCAGAAACTTGTGCTTGGGCATGAGCTCATGTATAAATAACTTAAGACTAAAAAAAATAACATATGGAAATACACAACACGGTAGGTAGTTTTAAATGACTTTATTGTTTTTAGAAGTATTCTCACGAAGATTAATATACATCTGCATGTGCTCGAACCAATTTTCGAAGCACTTATTCCGCTCGTTTGCTGACAGATCCAAAACGGCATTTTTGAATGCGTCAACTGCTTCTTCTGGTGACTGGATCACCTCTGACCACGCAGTCTGTATCTAATTTTTAGGAGAGTAACGAAATCATTAGGACTTAGATCGGGACTATATGGAGGATGGTCCAATAATTCCACGTTTTCTTCCGTTAAATACTGCCTTGTTTTTTGGGCTGCGTGCGAGCTTGCATTGTCTTGGTGGAGGATGATTCTTCTTTCGGGGTTGATTTTTGGCAAACAAATGGTGGTATACCAATCAGCAGCAACAGTTCTTTGCTCACTAAGAGGAATTGTTGCAATATGACCCGCTCTTGACACAGATGTCGCGACCATCTTTTTCGAAACACTTCGAGAGCGGATGACTTTTGTTGGCTTTCCTTCACCTTGGAACACCCAAACATCCGACTGTCGTTTATTTTCTGGTTCATAACAGTAAATCCACGATTCGTCACCACTAACAATGCTGTACACATTTTTTGAGTTTCCGCAATTCAAATGGTCAAACGTTTTTAGACACCAATTAACCCTGTTGCTTTCTGCTCTTCAGTCAGCAGGTGGGGGTATCCAACGAGAAACTAATTTTCTTACTCCTAATTCTTCATGTAAAATTTTTTGAATGGAGGTCTTTGAGATCTTCAAGGACGCCTCAATCTCGCGATATGTCACATGTATTTTCAATGATGAGTTTGCGCACAGCATCGACGTTTTCCTGGGTGACTGCCGTTTTTGGTGCACCCACGCTGGGATCGTCGCTAAGACTCACCCGTCCACGTTTGAATTCTCCATACCAACGGGAAATTGTCGACTGATGTGGCGCTTCGTTGCCGAAAACAGACAGTAACTCAACAAGGCATTCTTGTTGCAATAATTATCTCTGAAAGTTTTAATAAATTATGGCCCGAAAATGTTTTCGGTTGAGTTCGATTTTTCTAATGACTTGGTGACACTTAGAAATTCACTGTAGTGAGAACATTGTTGTGAAACTTTGAATTTAAGTTTACTAAAGAGTGAGGTTAAGATTCAGTACTGACGTTCGATCCGCGCGGCTTACTATGTTTGACATTTTATTTTGTAATGTACTTGTGTGGGCATTATGTGATGAATCTAATGTGGGGTCGTGGTAAGAGAATGTAGACGTAACTATGCTGAGTTCAAGCCCGCAGATCAAGTTTTTCATTATATTCGTGCAACAGCTCTGAGAGTCAAATACAGTACATTTGCAAACCTCCCTTAAAGGTAGAACTCATGTTGCATAACATCAGTTGGTAGAATTACATTATCAAGCATTTGCTAAAAAAAGGTAAATAAGGTGCATCCCACTGTTTTGTCTTGTTATTTACAACATTTATTGTAGTTTTTCCTGCGAAATGATCACAAAGTATAAAGGTATAAAATACAAATAAATGTAAAACTACTGAATCCAGCTTTGTCATTTTGAGTTCTCAAAACGTCTTCAGTTCAAGCATTAGGTTGTAAAAAATTGACAAGATCAAGTGGGTAATATGTGGTTGTCCAAAACGGACGGGGAAAGTAAACGCATATTAAAACAAGAAAGATTGATATTCAAATCACGTTGGGTTTTATTTTGAAGGTTCATTTATACCATTTATGTATGAAAAATAATATCGCTCAAATGTTCACCACGACTGGATTTACAGACGTCCACGCGATGGTCGAAATTTTCAATGACATTTTGCAACATGGTCGGTTCTGTGGCATTTATCTCGGCAATGATGTTTTTTGAGTTCTTGGAGGGCGGTTGGTTTGTTGACGTAGACTTTGCTTTTCAAATATCCCCATAAAAAGAAGTCCAAGGGAGTAAAAATCGCACGATCTTGGTGGTCAAGGCACATTTCCTCTGCGCGAAATCACGCGATCACCGAAGGACTGCAATCGATGGATATTGACGTTGGTTGTGTGGCATGTTGCACCGTCTTGTTGGAAATAAACATCGTCCATATCCATTCCTTCAAGTTGCGGCAAAAAATAGTCCTTTATCATCACGTGATATCGCTCAGAATTAACGTTAACGGCGTCCCCGGCCGCATTTTCTAAAAAGTAAGGTCCGATGATGCCTTTTGACCACAATGCACACCACACAGTCACTTTTTGAGGATGCATCGGCTGCTCTTGATACTCACGGGTATTTTCGTTCGCCCAGATGCGGCAGTTTTGCTTGTTTACCGTACCATTCAAAGTGAAATGCGCTTCGTCGCTGAACATGATTTTTAATGAAAAATTGGCATCAATTTGGCGGTGTTCAAGGAGCCAATCTGAGAACGTTCGACGCGAAAAATGGTCGGCCCGACGCAGCTCTTGCGTCAATTGGATCTTGTAGGCGTGTAAATTCAAATCCTTGTGGAGAATGCGGAGCAAACTGGTTCTCGAAATGCCCAATTCTTGGGATCGACGCTTTGTTGATTGTTTCGGATCGTCTCTCACACTCTCCTTCACAACAGCAATATTTACCGGTGTGCGAACGCTCCTTGGCCGGCCAGAGCCTGGCAGATTTGCCACAGAACCTGTTGCCTCGAATTTACGCACCAGACGACCGACGGTTATTTCGTTTGGGCGGCTGTTGCGACCGAAATGTTCACGAAGCGCGCGAAACGTGTTTTTTATTTTTGCACCATTTTTGTTGTGCTCTTGAATAACTTTGATGCGGTCTTCAATCGAATACGACTCCATAGCGATCAATGTTAAACATTCAACTAACAAAATGACATGTCGGTGACAGAAAACAAAGATAGCGTCTATGTCAAATTGACGTTTACTTTCCTGCGTCCCTATTGGACAACCCTAATTTGAAGTTTTGAGTTTTATGTTAGATGAACTAATAGAAGTAGGAAACTTGAATAAATAAAGATGTTTTATTGAAAAACTTAAAGAGGTGCGATTAGCCTGTTTTGCTCATTGTTAAGCACCATTAATTGGATTTTTAAGAGGTTGAACATTTCGGTAGCCAGCTTAAAAGATGTTGATTTTTATAAAAGGAGTTAAAAAGTCATGTCCTGGTTTATTCAACCATTCGACTAGGTTTATGCTACCCCTAGGACGTACGGTGAAAGATTTCATCAAAATTCATTCAGTAGTGCTTAAGACATGTCACATCACGATATAAGATATGGATTTGGCGTGTTTAAACAAATCCGTAAAAACGAATCTGGAACTTTTCTATTTTCAGATAGGTCCATTTTCAGATAGGTCCATACTACCCCAATTTCCGTTTCTCCGCGAAACACCCTGTATGGTTTCGAGATGTATATGGAAGATAAATTCCTCTGATAAATCTCTTCCTGAGTGGAATTCTTATTCAAAACTTGACATAACATAAGGTTTCGGAAATTGAAGCGGGGGTTTGCCCCATTACATAAATCGAGGCCGCCTAAAATGTAATTTAGTGAATTAATACTGATAAGCTCAGGGGTGTGATTACAAAAACTGTACGTGGCGAGAAAAATTATAACAATAAACTCAATAAATTTTCAACACGTGAAGCAGCCAATGTGTCAGGTATCAATAATTGACAAGGAGGAGAACAGAAGAACATCAATGACCAAAAGGTGCCAAGGATATGTATACCTCACGACCACATCTAAGATGTAATACGTAATGTTAAATTCTTGTAGTGGGTGAAGTGGGCCGCTCGGGGTGCGATTCGGAGAAGGTTATCGGCACATACGAGCCCCTTCCCACTTCAGTTGGCCCATTTCAAGATTTGTACCAAAATATGCCTTTATAAACTGAACATGACGAAACTATTTACTTCTAAAACAAGTTATTTTCTCAAAAACATTTTAGATACACTCTAGTCGTAAAAAATACATATTTGAAATCACTTATTTCTTCCCATATTTCTTGAAGCTTTTGTCTCAGTTCGGTGTTGGATGTTGTCGTAGAACTTTTTTCATCTCGTACCACAAAGTTTCAATAGGTGACAGATCTGGACTGCTAGAAACCCATTTCAAAGGTGGTACATTATTTCCTTCCATCCATTAGCCTTTTTTGAGGTATGGCACGCTGCACCGTCTTGCTGAAACACAAAATCTTGGTCGGTTGTCAAACATTCTTCCATCACTGGTAAAAGCGCTTCTTCTAAAATTGCCAAATATTTGTTTGTATCCACATTTCCATCAATAAAATGAAGTTTTCCTACTCCTTTTGATGACATACTGCCCCAGACCATAATGGATGCTGGAAATTTCACTTTTCTCTTCAGACAGTTAACATGGAATGCTTCATTTTTTTGCGAATAACTCTACTGCGACTATCACCAACACAAACTTCGAATCGGGCCTCATCACTCCATTTTATTGCACACCATTGTTGAGGTGTCCATTGTCTATGTTCTTCAGCCCATCTAAGCCGATTTTTCTTCTGCAGTGGAGTTAGTAGTGGCTGTTCTTTGGCCTATAAACAAGTTGTGCAACTTTAGGGTTTTTAATTCACTTTTTTTTATAAGAAAACTTACCTTGCAAGTGCTAAATCCCAGTTTGTGGGCCTCTCTATGAGTTGTGGACCTCGAAATTCTCCTTCCAACAGCGTCACTCCACAGAGCACTTAATTGTAAATAATTGGCACGCCTGTTTTTCACGATTATTCTTCTCAATGCTCTTCGGTCGGCATTTGTGATATTACTTTTTTTCACATATCATGGCTTAATATTAACTGAACCAATTACGTTATATCTTCTAGCCATATTTCTCACACTGTACCGCCATAAGTCTAACAAAGTTGCAGTTTCTGAGTTTGATTTCCCATAATTAAAACATTTAATTATCAGTAACAGAATTTTCTCACTAATAACCTTTCTTCTACCCATTTTGAAAACCTTAACTACCCAAAACTATTTTAAACGTATTCTGACAGCTGTGATTAATAAAAACAATTGTCATGGCTTTTATTTTTCACACCCAGCTATGCGTTATAGACTTATTTTGCATTGAAATGAAAATAAGTTGATATGCTGTAATTGCATGTGTATTTTTATGCTGCAAATTTGATTAAGGAATGATAAAGTTGGTGTTTTCTACTATATATCTGAATATTCATTGTTAATACTTTAAATCTATAACACGCTGCTACTTTTTTATTTGTGTTTGATCAGGAAAAAAAATCAGATTTCAATAGTTGGGCGAACTGAAGTGGGAAGGGGCTCGTAGTGAATGGAGACATTATCCCTTCCTCAGGGGTTCTTGATGAGTTTGGGGCAGGGTGAAGAAAATATAACCCTGTC